GTTAAAGCTGTGATTGCTGTACTCTTGCTGTAGAAGTTAACAAAATCAGAAGAAAATAAGGCAACAGCTTTGCCAACATCACCAGGATCTGGAGCACTCCTTCTAGGTACTCCACTTCAGCCCTCCATAATTCCAACAATTCTGGCTTTGCTTACCAATAAAGATTTACTGGTGCTTATTTGTATTTACCAAGGAGGGAACAGAAACCACAGAACATTTGCAGCCAACTCGCAAACCTCCTTGTTCAGTGACTTACAAAAACAGACATGTTTCCAGGGCAGTGTTCGCATTTGTAACATCCTCAGTCCCTCTCTGCTCTACCCACCAACCCTCTGCCTTGAAAGCATGTACTGAATACCTTAAAACAAAGTTTCCACGAGCTTGCGTATAATGCTATAGGAAGCTTGTAACTTCTTCGTTAAATCACAAATCTAATTTTCACTTGATGAAAACCATAGCTTGCCTTTGTTGGTTTTTTTTTAGTATATTCAAGTAGTGAATATGAATATGGCTACTGAAAAGAAATAGACCAACTTACAAAAGAAATTGTGACCTAATTTTCTCTATTTATTTCTTATCAAGAAGTTTTCAGATACTGTTTGTGCCATTTGAACCCTTTTGGAAATCCTGAAGATATTTTTCTCCATTCATATATTGAAATGCTGGCAGCTTTGTGCCACTAAGTCTTTAAAAATGTGTTTCAACAGACATACGTGTACAAGTAAAGTAGAAGCAAAAAAAGTCTCAAAAATCACAGGGATTTACCCTCTTTGTTAAAATGTTGGATGTCAGCTATACAAAATACCATTGTATTTTATTATAGAGATGTAAAATCATTCCATACAGTCTTCCAAATATCCAACTTGTACTTCAGACACAGATATCAAGAGGAAAAAGGTCTCCAGCTGTCTAGAACTCCAAATTCTCTCATTTGTACCGTCATTTAACATAAGACAAAATTTAAGACCAGACCTTAACTGTTTCCAAATGTTTTTGTGTATGTTTCTGCTGAAACCTTTAACCATTATCTAGCACCAGAATTCTTAAACAACAAATGCACCCACTGTGTTCCTTTAATTTTGTGTTCAGATATTTTTCTGTCGAATGCTTGGTACCATACATTAATCATGGTAATATATGATAAATAGTAAATTACTTTGAGAGCAAAAGGATCTCGGGGAAACTGCAAATACAAATGATTGTAAGCATTGATACACAGAAAACTCTTAATCCTGCGAGGAAATGACTGTAGATACAGCAGTAGCAAAAATAGATCCAGATTATAACTTTAACTTAAATCTCTGAAGAAACTATTCATCCTTTGAAACAATCTCACAAAAACTAAATACGAGCTTTACTGAGGAAAAAATTATCCACGCACAGTAGAAACCTGAACCTAAGTACATGTGGGAAATGCAGAATACTTCACTGAAACAAAACAGAAAGGGCTTAGAAGTCTTCTCTCTAATCCTAGTACGTGTTAGACTTTTTTTTTTTTCTGGAAAAGACATAACCAATGCAAAAAGTAACTTAGTTTAAGCATTACCTTCTTTGAGTTCTACAAAGGCACACGAGCTCCCAAGGGACTCGAGCGCGGCCTCGGGGCGTACGTGACTGAGGGAATGCTCCCAGCTGGGAACTGCGATACCACGCTAAGCACTGTGCGAGCCCCGTTTGACTCACTGACTTCAGCTTTCGTCTCAGAAAGAAAAGGGTTTATTTTGGGGTGGGCTGCAGGAAAGAGTAAACACCTGTTTTGAAGGAGAATTTGGCAACAAAAATGAAAAAAATAAGAATTTCAGTCCCTGTTCTAGGTTGCTTTATTTTCCCATTTAAAGATAAATGCAGCATTAGATTTAACAGAGACACCTATGAAATAACTTACTAAGGCATTGTACCTTTTAAAGTCATTAAGCCTAATTGTTATGGTGCAATTTACAATAAAGAGCAAACACTTTCAATGATATATCGATAATTTATTGTTTTGCATAAGAAGGTAAGATCAGATTTCAGGTAAGACGTCAACCAAGGACCTGATGGCAAATTCAAGTATAGAGCTTGGTACAATATTAAAAAAGAAAACCATTTGTTTGATGATGGCAAACAACTAAAACACAATAAAAACATCTGGACTTGACTGTCAAAACATACAGTTCACTAAAAACCCACACAGCACAACTTGAATATGTGGAATATTGGAAACATGTTTAGTCGTCTTCGTTCCCAAATTCTTAGGAGTCAAAAAAAAAATCTCTCTCCCCTCTTCTTGGTATCCCAGAACAATTCAACACATGGGCTCAGCGTCCACCACCACAAGCAGGCTCCTGTCCTGTCCAAACTGTTGGGCAAAGACTTTTATCTGCCTAGACCTGCTGCCATCTCTGCCTGCTGCACGGAGGCCAGTGGCTTAGATTTTTTCTTTTTTTTGAAACAAACACTACAATAATGTTGATTTTCAAGAGCAATCTTGTAATTTAATCAGAACTACTTCTCACTCCTGAAAGACCCCATGCCTGTTTTTACTCCATTGGTTGGATTTATGTTTTTGTGATTCCCTTTCTTTTGCAGGTGTTAGGATACAGGATCAGCTCCTGGCTCACAGATGGGGCCGGCCGAAATCTGTCCAGAAAACCCCTGCCAGGACGGTGCAGAGGCGCGCAGGGTCAGCGTCTCCGCAACTGCAGCGGAGCTCTGCGCCGCTCACTGCCGCCCGCATAGCAAAGCTGCTGCAGAAGGTCCTTCAGACCACACCGACCCAGGAATGGGAATTAAATCAGTCTCCAAAGGACAAGAAAAACAGCCTGCAGGACAGCCAGAACTGCTTCTACCGGGGAGCTTGCAGATTATTCTAGCATCTATTTCTTAAAGAGAAAAGCAGGTCCCTTACGTGAGTGTTACTGTACACTGATGTTCTGAGACAGCCCAGGTTAGAAGCAGTGTCAAGAGTGTTTCGGTAAGGACTAAAGGCCCTCTTGTTGGAAACAGCCAGATCCTGTGAGATGCCGAGTGCCCTCTCAGTTTGGGTTCATTGCAAGAGATGGCAAGGGCACTTGGCGTCTCGCAGGCAAGGGCAGACAGACCTGCTGAATTCCAGATCCCTGAAAAATAGCTTGATTTTCAGTAATTAAAAAAATAGAAAACATTTTCTCGACTCTCATAATCTCTATGCAATTAATTTAATCAACAAATTTCTATTTATGTTACAAAAGAGTTTAAGTCCACCAGGAAAACAGTGAAATTCGACAAAAGTTACCTTATAGCTGTTCAAGCAGAGCGTGTATCCGTACTGGGATTCAGTACATCTGTAACTCTTGCATAAACATTTCCAGACTCCCAGGGACTCTGCTGTTGTTACTTGCATTTCATTTATTTTATATGACTCTAAGCCAAATGCAATGACCCACACATTAAATACACATTTAGAATAAAACTGCAAAATCTGATGGCTTTATCAGTGTATGAACTGAAATAAAATATTTACATGGAATGTTGAGCTCCATTTACAGAGACAGTGTTTCAAATTACAGACTTAGTAAACTCCTCAGTAAATGATCACATTGACAAGAAATTTAAAAACTTAACATCCCTTTTCAACCCTTTCATATATATATATATATATATAAAGTTTCACTAAATTCTTTTTTCTTTAAACAAGACAGCTCTATTCTCTCTACAGATTAACATGAAATCACGGTTTCCTGCTTGAATGCCACAGATGGGATGATCTGAAGTCAGCAAGTTCCTATACACATTTGGGACTTACAAGACACATTCACAACACAACACAGAGGTGTTACTTGGTCTTTACAGATGTACTCATTTCCTGCATATCAGTAGTAAATAAAGAAAAGTAACAAATTATCTATATTAAAAATACATAATCTATTATACATTTGCTTACACCGCCACATGACGTTTTAAAATGAGGTTTCCAACTGTGTCTGACCAGTGACAAGAATACTTTTTACAGTGAAGTTTACAACATTATTTTTGGGTGGAGACAAAATATCTGCCATACTACTACAAAGTATCTCTACATGCTAAACAATAAAAAGAACTAATCTCTTGCAATTGCTTTCCAGATCTCCAAAGTTTCCTTGATAATTTCTTGAAAATTTCTGATGGGAAAACTGTTCTAAGGGATGCCAAAAATGTTGAAATCTATTTAAAGGGAAAAAAAAAGTTACTTGCTATTCTGCTGCTATTCATATCACTTTGCCACTGATTTTACAGACGATTAATCCCAAAGTCTTTGAAGTTATGTACACAGTAACACACTTTTTTCATTATTTAAATAAATATTCCCGTGTGTTTTCTTTGTGCCACAAAGCATGCATGAAAATATTTTCAATCCATTCATGCTCATGGCAGAGTATTTAACAATTAAGCCACTGAATAAATCTTTCTTTCCATGTCTGTGTAAGTGCAAAGGAATACTAAAATCACTCTGTACATTTAAGACAAAGCTCACATTTAGAAAAGTAAAAACACTTATCTTGATATGTAATTAAAACTACGATGTCTTCCTCATAAAAATGTTGGTCACTTTTGCCTGTTTCAATTCTCTCAAGCACTTAAGGGGTAGTAACTTCCAAGTGCTGATGTGCATGTGTATGGGAGCAGTTACACTTAAAACCCCCAAAGTGCTGCTCCCCAGTATTAATTAGTATCTTCTGCACTCTCTGCTAAGAAAGCTTACCTTGGAAATACACAGATGACGATAGAGGTGTTTGGCAGTTTTGTTACATTAGTACTCGCTCACTTTATGGAGCACAGTAAGACTTTGGTTTAATATGACTGCTCTGCCCCAAAAGTGTGGGCAGGAGGATTGAAGACACAGGAAAACAAGACCAGTTTTAAGTGCACGAAGAGTGTCCCTGCTGTGCAGGTAGAGTTAGAAAGCCCTCCCTCCTACTGAGAAAACGACTGCTGAGTAATGCCTAACCATGCCCCACATTTAGATGCTGAGACAACAGCAGATGTTTTGTCCCTTCTCAGAGTTATGAATGGAGCCAGCTGACAGGAACCCAGAAGGTCTCGGTCTCCAGCCTGTCAAATGTTGTTTTAAGCTCACGGTAAGCTGTAGCGAGGTCATCGTTGACTATCACCTTATCGAAAAGGTGCCCATACTGGCTTTCCATCACATGGGCAGATTTTATCATTTCTTGAAAATCTTCTTCCTAGTAAGACAAGTGCAAGGCATAGTCAGTCCACAGCAACATCACATAAACTCATTCTACGGTCAATGCAAAGTTATTTGCTTTTTTCTCATCTCACCAGGAGACGGAAGTTACTTTTAATAAGAAAAAAAAACCCAGAAATTACTGTTGCAAGTGATCTCAGAGTGCATTCTCACAAGTAGACTTTGCTCAACAGACAACTCTTTCATCCCTCCCCTTGAAGCCACACAATCAGGCACTGCATGGTAATTACATGGACTTTTTCTTTTAGCAGTACCAGCATAAAATGTTTCTAGCTGTTTACTTTGATGACACATTTAAAGCTTTGTTACTAAAGTCCCAGCTTGCTATTAGCATGCGATATATTACAAAGCAGTATTTATTCTTTTAAGAGCTTGGTAGGAGCTGTCTTCCTGTGCCTGGCTTGACCTGGCTCAGTGGATTTCTCTTCATGTTTGGAGGGAAACAAATCTTAGGAATTTGTTTACAAAACTCTTGAGACATTAAACCTGTTCTAACTAAGCAATGTCCTGAAGTTTGCACTTCAGAACGAACTCCTCTTATATTTTAACCATAGAGCATATTCTTATAGCACATTATTTCCAGATTATTTAAAATGCATATTCTACACAGATGCAGTCTGTGAATACATCGTGACTCAGTTTGAAACAAAATCTAAAAAACTCTAAATAACATCTGAATGAGGGAAAATGCCACACATTGTAAATGTAGATAAAAAGTCTAATGATGATCAGCTTTGCTTTAGCTTCAATTAAAATATGATTTCATTGTATTTCAAGGAAGTAAATAAGTTCCTGTTGGGTAATCTAGTATTTTTTTCTGATTTATGACAAACATTTTAATTTTTTTTTCTCTTATCCACAAATATGGGCTTTTTATTACAGTAGCATTTACTTTTTAAATTGATGCTTTACATTTGAGCTTTTCTCTAAATTTAAACTAAATAGTACACTTAGTAAAACAAGGAAGTTCTTACATTTGAATAGAAACATCTAAGCCCACATGCAAATTTTAAAGGAAATCCACTGTATGATTTCTCACAAAAATATAGTTGCGTTGCGGGCGTTCTTCAATGACATAAGATCAGAGGACCACGAAAATGTAAATACCCACGAGCATATCAAACAACGAAAAAAACACAGTAAATCTGTGATGTGAGAGAGGCGGGGAAACAAGATACTATGCATAAGCTCTGAGAAGTAGGGTCGATGAGATCAGGGATCACCTTTACTTTCAAGGTAAACCACTACAACAAAACTCTGACCAAGTTCTCAAGTTTTACCACGTCTGAACAGACTTACTGTAAAGGGTTTTGCAGTTCCTCTATCATCTTTACTTGAAATAATCTTGGCATTTTTTCTGGTCTCTCTCAAACGGTCAAGTGATGGAGGCTTTATAAATATAACAAATGGTTTAAATTCATATGTCCGTAAGTGTTTCACTGTCTGGGAACAGGAAAGGTTTTAATTAATTAGTTTGTTTTGCACAATGGAATTTACCGAAATAAAAGAAACTCTTCACTAACCAAAATAAACCCACACAGCACTTCTAGGCAGCTATTTTTCATTCACTGCCATCCCACTCTGGTGACTGGCACTGATTCACGTAAGGAGAATTTTCACATGAATGGAAAGAAAACTCCACTTCCACTGGGGCTGCTGGAGAACCCCATGAGTCCAGCAAAGGCTGGGCTGCGCACAGCAGTGCCACCAGCAGTAGGGGGATGGAGGGGAGGAAAAGTTCCACACAT